GATTAATCAGATTAATAGTATTTATTTTACTATCTATACTAATACTCATACACCAAAATTCAGTCACATTATACGGTGCATAAAACTATATCGACAACACCGATAACGATTGTTAATGTTGATTATTATTATTATAATATATTAACGGAAACACACAACAGGGATAAAAATAGACTGGAGAAATTAAATATACTATTTTTATTTTTATTTGGCTTTATTTTGTCAGTGCCCGATGGTTTATTGAAATCTACTAGGGCAGAACAATATGCTCTTTCATATAAGACCATAGAATTAATTACTGCTATAGCAGTACTGACATTTTTTCGACGGTTTTCGTATTACTGCTATAACAGTAATATTTGAAAGTGTCCCCCGACATTAATTTTTGAAATTACTGCTATAGCAGTACTGTCCACCAACGTGTTTTAAAAGACAGAATGCAAATGGTTATGGTAAATGATGTTTTGGGGAAAGAACTTGTATTTAACTGTGGTGTTCCTCAAGGAAGTGTTTTAGGCCCAATTTTATTTATAATATATATTAACAGCATTTGTGACTCGCAGACGGATGGTTCAATATTTACATATGCAGACGATACATGTTTACTGTACTCTGATACATCATGGGACTCAGTCTATGCTAAAGCATCTACTGGACTAAACCAAATTTTTTGAAAACTAAATACAAAAAAAATTACTTTAAATTTAGATAAAACAGAATTTATAGCTTTTTCTATTTACTCCTATCAAAGCCCATTTGATGAAATCGAAATCACAGATAATATACACAACCATAATGGTAACCTAGGCCTAATCTTCGACCAAAATATGAAATGGCAACTCCACATAAACAGTATGACTATGCGCCTAAGGACAATTATGTACAAAATATATTGTTTGAGGAAAATAATCTCACCAGATACTATGCGTATAGTATACCTGTCTCTCTACCAAGCTATTTTTCAATATGGTATAATTGCCTGGGGTGGTACATATKAAAATGCTATTAAGCCTTTAACTATACAGCAAAACAAAATAGTTCGTAAATGCCTTGACAAAAACACGTTAGAAGGATCAACTAAATTAAATTATAAATGCTTGGGCGTTCTACCTATTAATTTACTTTACAAAAAATTCGCGATCATGTTTCTTATTAAAAATACTCCTATAAATGATATTGTATATTCAAAACGTAATAGAACATATGACATCTCAATTAATTCAACTAAAAAACTATTGGACAAAGATTTGTTGACTATTTAGGATCAACTTTCTTCAATG